AATACATAAAAAACAACTTAAAAGCAATTTCTTGATTTATATGTTTTTATTGCATGTCAGTTTCGATTAGGAGTCTATGTTTATGCCGTGTGAGTAACCGTGTTACACATAACTTTGGTATATAGCATGAGATTAGTATATCTAATACAGCTAAGGGATCAAGGCTGAGGTATAATGATTCGGGATCAGTTTGTTTGACTAAAAGGTAATCCAGGTCAGCATATACATACAACAGGCCAACATGTTATTTTTATAATAAAAATGAAAAAAAAATGATATTGAAAATGTTAAGATTTTTTAACATAAAAAACTGTTGAAGTTTCATCAGTTTAAAATAAATTGTTCATAGTAAGGGTTAGCCTGTAATACAACTGTAAAACTGAAAATGGAGTAGTATCTTCACTTAAAAAGGCTTTGTTTTTAATTTTCGTACCTCTCTTCAATGAGACAATCTGCAACAACTTTAAGCTTTAAGTTGGGAACCGAAACATTTTGATGAGCTTTTCCCCAAGTTTAGATATATATGAATAAGCATATGATATTTTTAGTCCATGAAAATAAAACTTTCAGGAATAAGTATATGTCTAATGTAAGATTTCACTGCATTAACTATAGAGACACTTTATAACTGTTATGATACACAGTAGCTGTAGGTTGTTGTACTGTGATGAGGAGCCGGCCACTCCTGCCAAGTGTTTGATGCATGTTGTGAGGTACTGCTAGTCTCTGAAGGAGAGAAAGAGAGAGCTGACTCACAGATATAATTCTGAGATCATATTTACACCTCACTGATGAGATAAGGTAAACACACACAGTTTGGTACTTCCTGCTCTCATAGCAGTCTGTACAACACACCTGGAACAGGTTACGAGGTACTGTTCAAACTTTGACTATCTTTTATTGGTCTTTGTATCCATGAAGTTAGTCTCTTTTTATCCATTGTTCACATTTACTGTCAAGGATATTCCATTTCCTGTTTTCCAATATACTGGACAAAATGTTGGGTATTCCTTTCCCTGTTTTCCAATATACTGGACAAAATGTTGGGTATTCCTTTCCCTGTTTTCCAATATACTGGACAAAATGTTGGGTATTCCATTCCCTGTTTTCCAATATACTGGACAAAATGTTGGGTATTCCATTCCCTGTTTTCCAATATACTGGACAAAATGTTGAGTATTCCATTCCCTGTTTTCCAATATACTGGACAAAATGTTGGGTATTCCTTTCCCTGTTTTCCAATATACTGGACAAAATGTTGGGAATTCCATTTCCTGTTTTCCAGTATGCTGTCCATGATGTTTGGAACCAAACATCAGAAATATTTAGCACTCTCAATATGTTTTGTTTACAAATTTTGATATTTATGTTGTTTAGTTGTGTATTGAACACTGTATCCTTAATCTCAGCATCTCATCTCAAAACGTTACAGCTTTTAAAGTAGGTTTTTGTGATAAACTGATAGACACTGCTTTATATGACATTTTAGATATATATTGCAAATAATTGACTTTCATGCTTAAATAGAAGTATTCTTTTGCTGCTACTGGTAAGCACCGCTGTCTTTCCAGTATAGTATATGAATCTTAAATGTTGTTTGATGGCTGAGTCATATGAGTATTCTTGTCAGAGTTGTTTACCAATATAGCTTTCCTTTTCCTCCCAATATACTGATTAAATAGGAGAAAACATAGTTAACATTTTCATGTAGTCATGTGGTATTGTTGAATTCTCATGTGGTACATGTTGAATTTGCTTAATTCATTGACTGTGATATTTTTTACACAAATTTAAATGCAGTGTATACCTTCTTGAATTTGGAAAATTCAGTGATATTTACATAAGAATAATCAAAGGATTTTTTTTTCATTTTTGGAAAACAGTTAAGGTTTTGACAAAGAGGAAATATTTCTTTGAAGGAATATCAAGAAGCAAATTGATATCAACATGGGTTTTGAAATTTATGAATGATAAAATGGTTTTACTCATAATTCTAAGCTAAACATTGTAAGGCCATTTATTATGAAGTCTTCCTCCACAATAAGAAGAGTTATTATAATGACACTTTTATGAGTAAACTTGTTTATGTGTTTGAAAGTGAGTAGGTGTGACTGTCATCATCCTATTTTTTCTGTGATATCAACTGTTCACTGGTATTTTTATATACGGATTACATTACCATAGGATATATTCTCGAGAGTCACATTTACGTTTACAATAAATAAAAAGGCTGTCTTTTGCATTCTTGAAAACGGCTATAATTTTCACATCTTTTCCGATGATAAATTTGATTCCTTAAACAATGAACATGAATAGATAGATATTTTGTGGCCATAATTTTTATGTTATGTAATACCAAACTTGCTGTTTGATGGAGTTTCAATAGATTTTAGTGTAGAACAGGAGATGTTCTGATTGCACCAATGGTGTATTATGACAGCAATCCTTTTGACCGGTTTTTTAGGTGACACTAACAGAGGTGCTGAGTTATATATGTGGGTAGATACATCCAAATTTTGTTGTGTCACTTCATATGTGTATAAGGTAATTTTATACGATAGTACCATATATGGACAGAGCATATAAAATACATGAACCTAATAAATAGGCCTGGAGTCAAATATTGTAGTGTCTATCATTGATAGTGGTTTACAATTGCATAGACGGTCACCGTTTTCATGGGTTTTAATTCGTGTGATTTCGAGGTGATTTAACTATAATGAATTAAAAATTCATTATCTAGATATAAGTTGATGAATTATTTCTGTGAATATTGTTCCTGATGTCAAGTTTCATCAAATTCATGATTTCGGGTTTAGCAGTCAATCATAACTATGATTTAATGGTAGTAATGAGCTAGTTATGCTTACAAACACATGTATTTGTGTACAGTGTATATCCTTGGAGTATTAGGCACGGCCATGACTGTAAATACTGATACATCATCAGTAAAATTATAGTTTCATACTTCTGATGATATTTACATCCATCTAATTATTTTATTCATCAAATTTCCGTGATCACAGTCATATGCCTCGCCAAATGCCAAGCAGGTTATTATTGATGATCATGGCACCACAAAGTGTTATTGATGATCATGACATCACAACAGGTTATTGATGATCATGTCATCACAAAGTGTTATTGATGATCATGTCATCACAACAGGTTATTGATGATCATGTCATCACAACAGGTTATTGATGATTATGACATCACAACAGGTTATTGATGATCATGTCATCACAAAGTGTTATTGATGATCATGGCACCACAAAGGGTCATTGATGATCATGTCATCACAACAGGTTATTGATGATCATGTCATCACAACAGGTTATTGATGATCATGTCATCACAACAGGTTATTGATGATCATGTCATCACAAAGTGTTATTGATGATCATGGCACCACAAAGGGTCATTGATGATCATGTCATCACAACAGGTTATTGATGATCATGTCATCACAATGGGTTATTGATGATCATGACATCACAACGGGTTATTGATGATCATGACATCACAACAGGTTATTGATGATTATGACATCAGAACAGGTTATTGATGATCACGACACCACAACAGGTTATTGATGATCATGACATCACAACTGGTTATTGATGATCATAACATCACAACAGGTTATTGATGATCATGACATCACAACAGGTTATTGATGATCACGACACCACAACAGGTTATTGATGATCATGTCATCACAATGGGTTATTGATGATCATGACATCACAACGGGTTATTGATGATCATGACATCACAACAGGTTATTGATGATTATGACATCAGAACAGGTTATTGATGATCACGACACCACAGCAGGTTATTGATGATCATGACATCACAACTGGTTATTGATGATCATGACATCACAACAGGTTATTGATGATCATGACATCACAACAGGTTATTGATGATCACGACACCACAACAGGTTATTGATGATTATGACATCACAACAGGTTATTGATGATTATGACATCACAACAGGTTATGACATCACAACAGGTTATTGATGATTATGACATCACAACAGGTTATAGATGATCATGACATCACAACAGGTTATTGATGATTATGACATCACAGCAGGTTATTGATGATCATGACATCACAACAGGTTATTGATGATTATGACATCACAACAGGTTATTGATGATTATGACATCAGAACAATATCATGACCAAAGATTAGATTAATGTTACTAATGTCAGTAAAATGTGGGAGGGTAACAGATATTTCTGAAAAATACAATTTTGGTGATGAAGATGGCTATGTTTGTTCTGAAATTGTAGCACATATATTTATCAGTTTTAGGAGGTAAGATGGAGGCTGAAGAAAAGTGTTATCAGTAACTGGTGGGTGTGGAGGGATGTTATAGATTGTAACTATCAGTTCATTCAGCAAAGATAATCGTTGAAAGATGTGTTGTAAATAGAGGGAGGTCAATGTCTTCATTCTGATGGTCAAAACCAGACTATACAGTAACAAAGAGATTTGATCTGCTCTATCAGGATTTTTTTTCCTGCATGCCTTGCAGTTTTTTTTGTTTAATTGTACAGTAACAAAGAGTTTTGATCTGCAATACCAGGATTTTTTTTATTCTACATGTCTTGCAGCTTTTTTTGTTTGATATTTTGTCTTTCTCAGTGTGATGCGTACATTCTTGCACCTAAAGGATACCAGGTTATATATGAATGGAAATGTACATGTGATTTAGTTTGTTTACTTTGTGGAATATTCAGTAATTTACTGTATTAGAAGTTAAAGCTTTCACGTACAGTTCTAGATAAGATTAGAACTGAGAAACACAGTGATGGAAGTGTTACCTGTAATTGTTCCACCTCTGTTAAAATAACACGATCTTCATTGATAGAATGTAACTTTAGTGATTTGATTATGTTGTATTATAGGAATAATATCCCATAACAAATATGTGTTTATCAATAGTGTTACTGACCTTTGTTACTTTCTTTTACAGGGACAAATCGTCCAGTATGTGTGTAGGGAGAGTAGTCCTGTTGGTCCTGGCCCTGGCAATTGGCCATGCCCGGGCGGACACAAGTTCTATAACACGGACTCCAACCATAGGATGTTGTGATTGTGTTACTCTGATGCCTGACCCCCGCCCAAATATTGAACCCCAATATATGCCCTCTCCATTCCACATCAAAGTCAGCAAGACTGTCTACAACCCAAAGAACAGTCAAGCAGAGGAAATTAATGGTAATTATCTTATTTTTTAATTTATCTTATTAAGGTTGAACTGTACATGCATATACATATACATATAAACCTGGTATTTCACATCTAAGCACTGAACCCACTTACTTTGTATTGAAAACATTAACAAATGAATTATCATCATGTGTTGATACAAACTTCATCTAAATGATTCAAAGATTGTAATACACTGATTTTTTTGGTAGTGAACCTGACATCCGTCCAGCCCTTGACAGCTTTCACACGATTCATGATACAGGCTGTGTATGTCAACACAGACGGTACAGTAAAAGACAACACACCACTTGGCAGGTTTATCGATCTCGACTACAACAGTACTGATCCTGAATTAAGAGGGAGAACAGAGATTACCTGTGCAGGCGGGGTAAGTAATTTAAGATGGTGGCTCTGTATGCTCTTTGTCTTAGGGTAGGTTTGACGTGGAGTGGGCCACAGAAATGACCTGGATATCATGAGATTACCTTTAGAGATTAGAGATTATGTGTTAACCTGATCCAGGTATCTATAGATTACCTGTATATGTGTTGTGTTTACTTTACCTTGATTTCCACAGATTACCTGTATTGGTGGTTTGTTAACCTTACCCTGATATCCACAGATTACCTGTATTGGTGTTGTGTTTACCTTACCCTGATATCCACAGATTACCTGTAAAGGTGTTGTGTTTACCTTACCCTGATATCAACAGATTACCTGTATAGGTGGTTTGTTTACCTTACCCTGATATCAACAGATTACCTGTTTAGGTGTTGTGTTTACCTTACCCTGATATCAACAGATTACCTGTATTGGTGTTGTGTTTACCTTACCTTGATATCCACAGATTACCTGTATTGTTGTTGTGTTTACCTTACCCTGATCTTCACAGATTACCTGTATTGGTGTTGTGTTTACCTTACCCTGATATTCACAGATTACCTGTATTGGTGTTGTGTTTACCTTACCCTGATACCCACAGATTACCAGTAAATGTGTTGTGTTTACCTTACCTTGATATCCACAGATTACCAGTAAATGTGTTGTGTTTACCTTACCCTGTTAACTGTAGATTACTGGCATGAATGCTGTGTTTACCTGACCCAGAGATTCATTGATTGATGTGTTTAACTGACCCCTAGATCCATAGACGTCCACTATAAATAAGTTAGTGTTTACCTGTCCCAAACATCCATAGATTACCAGTATAAGTAAGTGTTTACCTATCACAAAGATCCATAGATTACCAGTATAAGTAAGTGTTTACCTGTCCCAAAGATCCATAGATTACCAGTATAAGTAAGTGTTTACCTGTCCCAAAGATCCATAGATTACCAGTATTAGTAATTGTTTACCTATCACAAAGATCCATAGATTACCAGTATAAGTAAGTGTTTACCTGTCCCAAAGATCCATAGATTACAGTATTAGTAATTGTTTACCTATCACAAAGATCCATAGATTACCAGTATAAGTAATTGTTTACCTGTCCCAAAGATCCATAGATTACCAGTATAAGTAAGTGTTTACCTGTCCCAAAGATCCATAGATTACCACTATTAGTAAGTGTTTACCTGTCCCAAAGATCCATAGATTACCAGTATAAGTAAGTGTTTACCTGTCCCAAAGATCCATAGATTACCAGTATAAGTAATTGTTTACCTATCACAAAGATCCATAGATTACCAGTATAAGTAATTGTTAACCTATCACAAAGATCCAAAGATTACCAGTATAAGTAAGTGTTTACCTATCACAAAGATCCATAGATTACCAGTATAAGTAAGTGTTTACCTGTCCCAAAGATCCATAGATTACCAGTATAAGTAAGTGTTTACCTGTCCCAAAGATCCATAGATTACCAGTATAAGTAATTGTTTACCTATCACAAAGATCCATAGATTACCAGTATAAGTAATTGTTAACCTATCACAAAGATCCAAAGATTACCAGTATAAGTAAGTGTTTACCTATCACAAAGATCCATAGATTACCAGTATAAGTAAGTGTTTACCTGTCCCAAAGATCCATAGATTACCAGTATAAGTAAGTGTTTACCTGTCCCAAAGATCCATAGATTACCAGTATAAGTAAGTGTTTACCTATCACAAACATCCATAGATTACCAGTATAAGTAAGTGTTTACCTATCACAAAGATCCATAGATTACCAGTATAAGTAATTGTTTACCTATCACAAAGATCCATAGATTACCAGTATAAGTAATTGTTTACCTATCACAAAGATCCATAGATTACCAGTATAAGTAAGTGTTTACCTGTCCCAAAGATCCATAGATTACCAGTATTAGTAAGTGTTTACCTATCACAAAGATCCATAGATTACCAGTATAAGTAAGCATTTACCTGTCCCAAAGATCCATAGATTACCAGTATAAGTAAGTGTTTACCTGTCCCAAAGATCCATAGATTACCAGTATAAGTAAGTGTTTACCTATCACAAAGATCCATAGATTACCAGTATAAGTAAGTGTTTACCTGTCCCAAAGATCCATAGATTACCAGTATAAGTAAGCATTTACCTGTCCCAAAGATCCATAGATTACCAGTATAAGTAAGTGTTTACCTGTCCCAAAGATCCATAGATTACCAGTATAAGTAAGTGTTTACCTATCACAAAGATCCATAGATTACCAGTATAAGTAAGTGTTTACCTATCACAAAGATCCATAGATTACCAGTATAAGTAATTGTTAACCTATCACAAAGATCCATAGATTACCAGTATAAGTAAGTGTTTACCTATCACAAAGATCCATAGATTACCAGTATAAGTAAGTGTTTACCTATCACAAAGATCCATAGATTACCAGTATAAGTAATTGTTTACCTATCACAAAGATCCATAGATTACCAGTATAAGTAAGTGTTTACCTGTCCCAAAGATCCATAGATTACCAGTATTAGTTAGGTATTTACCTGATCCAGGTATCCAAAGATCCAATTGACTGGTGTGTATATATATATATATATATATATGTATATTATTGTTAAAATTACTGTTATCAGACTTTGACAACTAGTGACGTTTTTTTTTAAATAGGTTACTAGAAAGTCTTCTGACAGTGAAATTAGACAATGATCAATGAGCTCTTCATTTACAGTAAGGTTAAGATATTTAGTAAATTACCGTGAATATGGAAACATATGTAAACCTTTCTAAGAATGTGAAACAGTTACAATTATGCATTTTTATGATGATCTGTAGATGTGTATAGCTAAATAAAGAATGTTAACCTTCTTGTGATGTTAAACAAACTCGAATGATAAAATGTATGGTGTATTAACTGTGTAGTTGTTATGTCTGATGGAATCGATTAGTTTCACTTGACATTCTGAAGGTATTGATGCAGAAATAATGAGTTAACCAACAGGTGTGCCTAGAATTTCACCTGCCCACTTCATGTTAAAAATGAATAAATTAAACGATTTTACGTAAAGAAATTTAAGATCTTTGCATATATGGTTAGTTATTATGTTCTACTTTCTGCAATAGTGAAGTAAATCATACACAGTATAATGTATATAATTTAAGACATGTTTTTACATTACAGCGTGCTACAAAACAAAGTAATGCCAACCAACTGAAGAAAAATGTGCGTCTGGTCTGGAAGCCCGACGTGACCATGAAGGGGCCTATTGTGTTCAGGTAATTTGTAGATACCAAGACACCTTCATGATTATCGCACTATAAAGAACACATCCAAATCTCATCTTTATAGTCTGTGAGGTTTTTAAGAAATTACGTAAACTTCCCTGTTAATTTTTCTCTGATAAACTCAGGTATGACACCAGTTCGTTTTTTTTTTTTGCATTTTCAGTTCCTATCATAATTGATACTATGGGCTGTCACTTCAAGAGTCCTAGTGTACAGGATAACAATACCTGTACAGGTATCTTTGTGACACAGTATCTTTCATTGTTTAGATCTGTAGATAATGACTGTATTTTGTCCTTTCATCTACATTCATGTGTGTAGCTTGTTTCACGGTTAAACACACCTAAGTTAGATACTCCACTGAACATCAATACCAATCTAACACATGTTAACTGTGTTAACTTTCCGCAGTTGTTTGTATGTTTAACAGCTTATTTTGTCTGAAGGAAGTGAGGGATGGGTAGGATAATTGTGTAAATCTGTTATAAGGTGTTACTGAGGCTGTTTTAGAGAATACCGGTAAATGATTAGAGATTATGCACGGTAGATTGTCATTATCATATACCTGTATCATATATAAAAACTTAACACCTTCATGTCAGCGACAGACAGTATCATTTACATAATATCCATGAAAAATCTTTGGAGTGTAAACAGTGCACCACATCACTAGGTAAGGAATGTTCTGCCATGTAGTTAGAGAAGGCATGGGTGCTTTACCAATGTGAAATGCAGTGATCATTTCCCTATTAGGTGTAAGCTTCCTTCCCAATGGTAAATGTAATTAAGTTTAATTATAGATTTGTTTTGTAGATACAAATGTATCTATATATGAATTTAGTCTGATTTGATATGAGGCTGTGTTTTAATTAGGACAGCTGACTGATTATATGTACACAGTTCTATATAAAGATACACATATAAGTATTCCGTGCTTGTATAGTTCAGTCACGGTGTTTAATAAACATACAGGGATTGTTATTTGGTTCATTTCTCACTGGTTGGAAACATTTTATATACACTGTATAGTCTCTGTGTCAAGGCTGTTTCTGTTGATAACTTCAGTTGCTTGATGAGGCTGCTTTCTGTTGATAACTTCAGTTGCTCGATGAGGCTGCTTTCTGTTGATAACTTCAGTTGCTCGATGAGGCTGCTTTCTGTTGATAACTTCAGTTGCTCGATGAGGCTGTTTCTGTTGATAACTTCAGTTGCTCGATGAGGCTGCTTTCTGTTGATAACTTCAGTTGCTCGATGAGGCTGCTTTCTGTTGAAAATCTCAGTTGCTCTGTCATCTCTTCATTGCCTCCCTTATTATTCTCACTTTGTAACTTTGTTATTTTACTGATGATATGAAACATTGGTGTCAGTTTTAATGTTCATGCTGTCTTTCGCAGCAATATTCACAAGTTGCATTTAGCTGAGTTTGTCGAAGAGTGAAGTACTCTTCAACAACCAAGTTTGATATATAGGTAGATGATAGGTCGTATAACTTGAATCCAGATAAAAATATGAAATAGTAAAAAAAAATTCAAAACTGGCAAAATCTTCCTCAAATATGTTCAAATTGTCTTGAAATTTTGTACCTGTCTTCAGTAAGAAATGAACATAAACCTTTGAAATAGGCCTTGTGCTCATTGATTATAATTCTTTTTAATTCCTTAACTTCAATCTATAATTCTTAAAATGACTCAAAATTTACTGTAGTTCAACATGATTAACAAAAAACAAAAATTGTTGGGGACTTGATTGTTTAGAGAATCAAAGTGGAAAAAGAAAAACAATCTGCGGAATACTTGTACTTTCTTGTCTTTTTTCTTTGTTGTATACGCTTTTCAAAGTATAAGAATATTCATGATTTATTTTCTTAACGTTAATGTTGAAACTTCTCTTATTTTATATTAGAAGGACCTATCACTGCATATATATTTCTATCCCTGTACTGTTGGGTGGAGATGAATATAAATATTTTAAAAATATATTTATAAATATAAATTATAAGAAGTTTGTGTTAACTTATGAATCTCTTCAACAGGGCCACTTTCATTCAAGATGGCAACCGTTTCTGGGTGCGAGAACTGTCTGAGCCTGTCATTGACAAGAACGGTCCTCCCATGGACAAAAAACCTACAGATCCAAACGTAAGTGAGATGTAGATCTTGTTTATCTTACTATCATCACAATGAGGAATTCACTTTTATTAATATTTGAAAGTCACATGACATTTTTTGCTGATGAAAGATAAATCTGTCTTTTCTTCCAAGGGAAAGACAGGTCAAACTCGACTGTTTTGAAAATGACACTCAAAAGAAAGTCACAATATTTTCTTCATGTAATCACTGAACAATCTGTTAGCATTATCAAAACACATCACTTTGATGATGGCATGCTCTATTGAGCTCAGCTTTACCATACCTTGTAGCATTTTCTATTAGGAAAGTCTGGAAGAAAAATAATCAATCACATCTGTGTAACATAGACAGATAAGGCTCATCCAGTCTGATACTTCACTTCAAGATTGTTACTCATGGGAGGAGATTTCTCTTTATACTGAGGTTTCTCTTGCTTCAAAACAGAAATGAAACAATTATTCCATCTCATGTCAGGTCACACGGACAAGATTCTTCACATTTTTTCCAATTGTACTGTATTGCTTGGTTTCATTGTTGATATCCAGTTATGAAAGGTGGAGTGGTTTGTTGGGGAATAAACATTTTGCAGAACAGAAATAGACATATTTCTGTGGGAGACTTTTAGAAATTATTGCTTTCATAATCCTTATTAACTTAAACACATGTTGAACATATTGCATTCTTTGTTAAATTACCATATCCTGTTTAGTCTGTCACTTGTACTAAACAAGTGGGGAAAACTTATGTTAAACATGTTGTATTCCACTCACAGAGACTGCCTTTGATAGACCCAATAAACACGAGGGACTGTGGAACCAAAAAGGGTTGTTTCCGGATCCCTGAAGGCTGCTGGGAACCCTACTGTCAGTACATTGCCACCTGGGTCCACTTAGGAGGCAATCGGTACAGATTTGAAGTTGGAGGCATCACTGATGGGATCACAGACAGATATGTGTCACTTGCCATTTCGAATGACATCAGATGGGTAAGATATATCAAATGGCTCACCAATAGTTACTTTGCTTATCATTTGGATACACCACATATTAAGCAAATTGCCACCTTTTAAGTCTCGGAAATGATCAGATATCTCAAATATAGTCAAACTAGGTTATTTTAAAATCTGAAGAATTTATGACCACATTAATGTTGAAGTTTTTCTTCATTTTCAACAAATAATCTCTTTCTATCTTTGTTACAGTTATCAAACTTGTTGACTTGGATATATATAGATATATACATACTTTTTATGGACAGATCTACTTTAAGATTACAATGTTCAAACTTTACCTATCACATAAAGACAAAAAAGTTATAAGTCTTGTCATTTAAAGACATTGTCCAATAATAATTACAAAATTGTTGGGGTGGAGGGATTGGAGGATAGAGGTCAGAGAAAATGTACATAACCAATCGGATCTTGTTACACTCTCAATGAATTGTTTCATTGTTTGTAGGATAGAGGAAATTTCAATGGGATATGTATTGATGGGTATATTTATATGAATGTCTGTCAATATTTGTTTGTGTAAATTTTCAGGGTGGAGACTTGGTAATGGAGTGTGTCCACAATGGAGCTACAGGTCTAACACAGGTCTACCTGGCCAAGAGTGTTGACCACTTCACTCACAGACTCAAAAATGTAAGTACTGAGTGCTGAGATACAATCAGTACAGGTCTATCTCACCAAGAGTGTTGACCACTTCAATCACAGACTCAAAAATGTAGGTACTGAGCAATGAGCTACAGGTTTACTTTTCTAAGAGTGTCAACCACATCTCTCACTGGCTTCAAAATTGTTAGTGCTTACTGTCACATAGTCTAGAATGTAAGTACGGTAACCATTCACCACACTTACAGATTAAAAATAGTTTGTTAGCTCTAATTACATAGATTGAATGACAAATTTTTTTGTGAGATGAAAATGCTGCAGTCATATTTACCTTTCAAATTATAAATATTGTTGGTTTCATTGCAGCCAAAGGCTGGTATAATAGCCGAAGAGGGACAGTTCCTTAATGGCCGCCTGCGATGTCGATTTGAGAAGGTGCCCCATCCAGATACCAAAGATTACCCCATGTCTGGCTATAGCCATCTTCTCATGTCAAGGGGTGTCGCAGAATCAGGTTAATTTTGTATTTATATACAACAAAGACAGCTTCCAAATTTATATAAAAGAAATCATGGCAGAGTCCAGTTAATGATATAGTCATGTACAATGGAGGCTACTAATTGTATGCTAATAATGGTATTTGTGTTTTACTTTGTGAAATACTCTGACTTTACAGAGATGAAAGATTATAGAGAATATATGTATTTTTGTAAAATTTCTGTACGGCCTCCCATGTAATGCCTATTATGATGTAAGAACTAAGATAATAGACACGCTGATATTATAACATTAAAATGGCAAATTAAATACTCAAATACAACAGTTGATACTCAAATACATTCCTTGTACCAGCACAAACTAGTGAAGATATTTATGAAGCTCATTCTGACATATTCTTTTTTGTTGAAAACAATGGCTTATGTGAAAACAAAGGTTGCTTCTGTGTAAGCATTTGAAACGGTTAGATTGGTTGAACCTGCAAGGAAAATGCCAGGTACAGATCGTTTTCGAGGCAAGACTGCAGAATATTTGGCACATACAAATTGAGGGGTCAAACCATACCTGTTTGTAGTTTACTTGTTAAATATCATTAGTTTTCAGAATTTCACAATAAAGTAGGATCAGTACAATCACATATTTCCGGGAGCATTGTGCTATTAGGACTGAGTAAAATGGAGGATATCTTAATGTTAGTTAATTGATTTAAGCTTGACAGGAAATTCTGAAATCAAGCATTTAGAGCTTCACATATATCAGTTCCAACATCCACCTACATGAACATTTGTGTTTAGTGGAATAATTGCAGACCACCTGAACCGTTTCAAAAGGGTTACACAAAAGTGTCCAAAGACTCTCAAAATCTCTTGTGTATGAGTAAAGTAAGGGAGATAACTCAAGAAAATGCTGTTTTACTACAGGTGAAGCTGCCCCACACAGATTTGGTGTAGGAGAGATTCCTCTGTCCTCAGCTGATGAGATTACCCTCTCCTCTACAGCCAACATTGGTGATTACGCTCGTTACTCCCTTGTCAAGGGACATGGTAAGTAGATGGACTTTATGTCACGACATGATGAGTTCATCAGCAGTAGATTTTATTAATCAGAAATAATTTCCAAATTATTTATTTATTCAAATAAAAGGAGAAACATTTGACAACATTCTTGGTAAGATTTTAGTAGAGATATTTCTTTCTAGAAATTTTGTTTTTCAGGAAATAATTTTATCAGTCCTGTAAATGGAGGGATGGTTATCTAAAATTGTATTAAATGTTAAAACAGTAAAATATCAAAACAACATTTTACAAGAAATTGGTAGAGTGTTTTCTTGTTGTATAGAAAATGTCACTGTACTGACTGCTAAGTTACCGTTTTGTTATGATCTTCCTCAATAAGTACCATCTTTGTTACAGGTATCCTCATGATTTTGGCATGGTGTTTCTTTGGCACCACTGGCATGCTCCTTATCAAATATTACCAAACCATGTGGCCAAACAAGCGTTTCTTCAGCCATAGATACTGGTTTATTGTAAGTAGCGAATATTACTGCTCTGATATTAATGGTAATATCGTAATCATATTTCTAAGTAACACTAAAAGCAGAGAGTTACATGATTACTGGGTATGTCAATTTGATAGAAATTACCCAACTTTCACTTTAAGTGGGCAATCGTTACAATCTACACCTATATAGCTTGTGTAATGTATCTATAACATTTTACAAATACCTACGGTGACTTGATGTTTACAATATGATGAATGTAACAAATATACAGTTGTACTGGAAATGTTAGTTGTGAGAAATGAAACCAATTTCTAGGCCTGTGAACTTAGTAAATAAATGTGAAAATACCGTAAAAACATGTCAAAAGAAATGGTAAGACATAATGACACAGAAATATACCCTCTCATGTTTTGAAACTTGGAAAAATTAATTGTTATTAAAACGTATAAATGACTTTTTTCAATATAATAATTGTAGTAGTACTTCATAGCATATTTTTTTTCACTTTCCATGTATTTTAGAATATAATGCTAATAGTGTCTGAGCTACAAGGCCCTGAACAATGTGAACAAAAACTATTACTGAAATGATTTGTCATATAACACCTTTTTATTGAAATTGGCATCACTATTCACAAAGTTCTCATCGTCAATGTACAATAATGTAGCTATTAAAATGTTTGCACGAATTAAATGCTGAATTAAGTGACAGACAATGATAAGTTCACACAATATAACAGATTCAGCTTTGATTTTTGTTTCACATGCAAGAGGTGCGAAACTTTCCCAGATAGAGGATGACCTAATGACCCTAATTAGTCATGATGAACTGTACAGGTGTACAACTTTGAACATCTTAATACCTTGATGATTTAGCTTGTAAAAATTATATTGGGAATGAAAATTGAACAATTCTTTGAGAGTGAAAGGTTAATTTGAACGTTATATATTACAGTTGTGAAAACAAATGTTCAAATATGTGGTGACATCCCTAATGATTACAGTTTAAAAGTTGCCACATAGTTCTACTGTAACCTTACCATTACTTGTGTTCTATGTGTGGTATTGTTGTGTTTCAGGGACATATTAACTGTATGGCGTGGCTGCTACTACTGGTGATCATCGCTATAATTCTAATCTTTGTTGAGGTTGATGGGTACAGCAAAGCTGACTATCTACCCTACAAGGCTCATCCTATCTTGGGTATCATCATTTTTGTCTGTGTGATCCTTTGTGTAAGTATAATGTATCATGCCTTTGGTATTTTGTATAGGAAACATAGGCTGGTGAAGTGTAGCAGTGATTATAAAGCAAACTGGCATTATAAACCAAGAAAAATTTTAAACCTGAAAAATTATGTGTTTAGTAGTATTATATACGAGAGTATCACCTATTTTATTATATTTATAATATAAGGTTAGATATCTGACAAATATTTTTTAAAAATATTTTTCCCAAATGATCGGATTTAATTAATTAATGTTGGGAGATATTTCTTGACAGAGTAAAAAAACAAAACCCTTGACTGGACATTGTAAACAAACTTATATCTCTCTGTGTAAAATCATACATAACTTGTTAACAGACCCCGGAACACTTGTTACCAAAGATATTTATTTTTGACAATCCAGTGGAATACATGTATTAGAATATTTAATTACATGTGTATTTGTGTTGGTGTTACACATATGATATGTATTTGTACAGTTCATCATTGCCCTAATCCGACCTGACGAGGATAACCGCTGTCGTCCAGTCTTTAACTGGTTCTACTGGTTATTTGGCACAGTAGCCTGGTGTCTGGCAAGTAAGTAGAAAGTACAAGGTGGATGACCTTGATGTCTGCTTCTGAAATCTGTTTCCTTGTTTCATACTGTATTGAAACTTGTGAATGTTAACAGTTCATATTTTCACGATTTCTTTTCAAAACGACCAAATAGTAATTTAAACAATCAAAATTTTGCAATCTTGATGTGAAAGGACATCTAATACTCTTGTGTTTCATTATTTCATGGATTTAATTTTGGTGACTATGTTTATGTACCACAAAATAGTGAAAATATCATCCCCCAAAAAATAATCTGTTATACGGTATGTTTTATCCTATAATTCTATATCATAAGATGTAAATGCCACTGTTTAACCATCAACATGGATCTACTGATTATTTCATGTGTAACTTCATATGTAGTTTTGTGATTCTCACATTTGTTTGGTGTTCAATTTCAAATGTGATTTCCCCCATTTATGTAGAGATCAGTTTCAAAGTTTAACAATCTCTGTGTAATCCTTTTTTTAAATAATTTTTTAAAAAATATTTCGATTTTGTTATTCCATAATAAGGTCTTCTTGTGAAGTAATTTTAAGTGATGATTTTTGTAAAATTTTTATAAAATTTCTCATTTAAATGATTTCTTTAGAACATTCTAGTTGCTTGCAAACATTTCTACAAGATGTGATATTAGTACTCATTACCTTTGACTTGTTTTCAGTCCCTAACATGTTTATTGGGATGGACTTTGGGAAGTCTATGGTGCCATGGTGGGCTACATGGATCCTGTGTATCTACATATTGTTCCACATCATCGTTGAGATCACCCTTGAGGTTCACCAATGTTGTACACACAAGAAAAATAAAGGTACATAACATCACTGGCTTACAGACATTGTCAGGGCTAAATAATACATACCTGGTATAACTCAAGGACTAGATAAAGGATGTCATTCAGGCTTGGTGTTGTTAGTGTTTACTTTCTCTTTGGGTATATATTGTATAGAAAATTATTTATGCTGTACCAACACATGATTACTTACTGTAGTAGTCAATGACATCTATATATGACAATAATTTACAGTTTCTCTTTATACTTTGGAAACCAGTTTTCTCCTAAAGTTGCTTTTTTTCATGTGGTTCTAATTTTCATGATTGTCCAGGGTGTATTTAAACCACAAATTATAGTTCCAGTGAAAATTTAGTTCCAAGGTCGATAATGTATTTATAAAATCAATGGATATTTTCCTCCTTGATTGAAAGTTTATCAAATTAATAAAGAAGTGCAAACATAACTTTAAAAGTATGAATTTTACTGACTTATAGAGGTAGGAATTCACTAGATATTGTTGAACAATATGGCCTGTTATGTAGTACCGAATTTTCCTGATTATAAGTCACATATTTTTTTCTCATGAGTCAGCTGATGTGTGGTCGGGAAAAAATAGGCAAGATAAAAAAAAACAAAAAAAAGAACATGAAGTGTACCAGTACCTGCCTGTTGTGTTTTTAGGACTGAAACATATCCTCTAGAACCATCATTTGCAATAGTATACAGGATGATTTGCAGATTGAAATGAAAATAACATTCTCTTGGATTTAATCAATCATACTAGTTAATGTGAATCGCAATAATATTTTCTGGACTTTCGCGGTTACTTGAAAGCCATAGCAGAAGTTTCTAATTGCATCCTGGGTTCGATAGGTCATCAGATTGTAGGTCAAATTCTAGCATAACTGCCATGCTTGTTTACGATATGAATGGCTTCGAGTAACTTACAAGAGAAAATAATATGGGAATTTAAGAATTTAACAGTACAGACGATGGAGAGATTGTTTAGTAAACAATATGTAAGGTCAGGCCCTATATCTGTGCATAGACAATGCCTTTGAAGGCACCCAAACCAAACAAGTTCAATATTTCCTATTTCACATTTTTTGAAAGACATCGATAAAATTAAGGATTGTGTATAATTCATTTGCAAACTTTTATTAAATGTTTAACTGACGATCTTGATAAGTAGTCCTCCATTGTCTGTCATATCAACTAAATTTGGTCAACATAACGGTTACCACTCCGTAAGACAGGGTGTGGCTTATATTTGAATCAAATTGAAAAAAAAAAGGTAGAAATTAGCTCTGCAGCTTATAACCTCGAAAATACAGTACTTAATGTTTCTGCACATTGATAGCATGAAAAAGTTGACCCCAAAAAATGTATCCAATGATAAAAACAACAGTATATACTATATAGGACAGATACATAACAGTTAAACTAACCATGTTTGTTTGATGATAAGGCTTTTATTTCTTTATGTACTCAATGAAGATAATCTTTTTACAGAACGAAGGAAGAAATATGAGTTCCAGAAGAGAGACAATCCTAAAGCATACATCCCAGAGCCAGAACCAGCAGTAAGTATCACTACCGGAAGAGGACTTTACAATATAGCTTAGCACACATGAAATGACAATATAACGACAAGCAAAGCACCAGACCTGTTACATCAAATAGTCACAATGAAATTGGGTGAAAATAAGGTTTATTTTCACGTAGGAAGTTGTGATGGGAGTCTTTTTTCGGTGCCTGTGCCCTAAGTTGATTCTTAGAGATAAGCGTAACTTGTTAGAGATAAGTCTACCATGCAACTTCCCCAAACCGTAAACCTTCCTTATACTCGTTCATTTCTGAATACCAAACCCATTTTGTGTCGGATGTGATTGAAGTTTATAATATACTTCTGCAAACCAGTCTTGCTTGAGCAATCAAAACCCGAGCTCTGACCTGTGCATTATTGAATATTTTGTGCCTCAGGTTCACATGTGTCACCTGTAGGCATTATATATAATAGCTAACCCTTTCAGGAGGATTATATTTAGCATAAGGTATAGTTATAAATGTTGACAAGAAAAAGTCATACAGAATGCATCCATTATTACACTTCTGCAAGTAAAGGCTATAGACATTATGCAGAGCTAGAAAGCTACAGTTTCGAATCTCAGTGGCACACATTATGTAATATGTCATTATAACACATACAAAATTGAATCGTTGATGGAATGTTGTTTTGAAAGAGAATTTTGTCATCCTGGTCAACCAAAACACCAGTTATCAAATATATAGATTGTAAACACTTCCAAATAAGAGGACCGTCATTACAGGGGACTGGGTTTGACATAGGAATACAATTGTGGTAGTCTCGTATCTTTGTACATACATGTTATTTATTCTAAGTCACATTGGCACCCATGTAGGGACCCGGGAATAGTATTTAGCCATGCCCCACCGGTGTCGCTGTGACCCCTGGAAACTCGAGGACGAGTTATTTCCTGGAGGGGAAGTATGTAACCCTGGTAAAATACTAGCAGCAATATACCACTCGGCTAGGGAGAACGTCACTTTAGCTCGATTGGTTGAGCGTCAGACTAGTAAGCCAGGGGTCCCGGGTTCGTTTCCTAGCGGAGGCATTGAAATAAATATTGACCTCTGTTGCACAATTGTAATGCAAAGATAATGTGATGTACAGATGGCATCTACTCTGTCAACTTAATTTACTCTTGCAACTCAAACTCTCCTTTAACTGGTCAAATGTTTTATGTCTCATGCATGGTCTGTCTGGCTGAAAAAACCCCACTTTATTGCTAACTTGTTAGAGAAAGGTATATTGATAAATTACTAAGTTTTGTCTCCATTATATCTGTTTGCAGGGTCGGAGGTTCAAGAAGAACATGCTGTTAGCTCACTTCATTGTGACATGTATCGTAGCTCTCATCATGGTCATCTCCATAGCAGCATCCTAAACAGCTGGCTTAGTCTGAATGACCAATGTCCACTTACTCAGGACACCTTCATTGGTCATTTGTTATCATGTGATATAGTAGTGGTGCTTTGATTGACTGTAATAATGATAGTAATCTTTCACTATATTAGGATGTTATTTTCAGTATACAGAATTATGATAGATAGTATTGAAACATATGGCTGTAATTTAAAATTTTATCAAAATTATGAAACAGTCAAAGCATTACACTTATAAGACAAGATTGTAAACAAGAATGGTAGGAACTCAGATTACAAATGTACTGATGTAGTTAATGGTTGAAATAAGAGTTTAGGTAACTCTGATAAAATGTACTGTTGTAATTAATAGTTTAAAAAACCAAGAGTTTGAGTAACTCAGATGTACAACTGTATGGTTAAAACAAGTAACTCAGATATGGTAATAGAATGACACCAAGTTACGAATACATTTTAATTCCAAAACATGTGTACATATTCAAATTCTTATTGTGCCAGATAAAGGAAGGATGTTTGTAAAAGTGTGCACAGTGATATATCACAGAGAGGTGAATGTGTTGTCGTTCAGTGATCTAATGGTATTCACATTATGCAAACAAAAATAGTGCATCTTTCAACCAAAGGTATAGGAAAGTCAGAAGCCTTACTGCAAGTAATCATACCTATCATGTTAAAAAAAAAGATCTTAGTGTAATAGATAGTTGATGCTTACATGAGGTTCCCTATATATAGTAACAGGCTATGCATCATTGCCACACTTCGCCAAGTCAGGATAATATTCATTTTTACCTATAGGAGAGAGTGCATTCAGTATATTACCTGTGTCATCCTTGTATGGGTGTGTCCATTGAAATATTATAGTAATGTTCGGTAGTACTGTTATTCTGCTTTAATTTGTATGCCATATAATACCATATACATCATGTCATATTTTCTGATCCATTGTCAGATGATTTTCAAACCTTCTGAATGTAACATTCAAAACTGTTTTTTGGTGTTTTACAAGCATATTGTCATCAAATCTGAACTTTGTGGAGGTTGTTTGTGTAGAGGTAAGATTTGGGTGTCAACATTACCAGTCTTTACGAAACTGTTCGCTCTGACATAAGAAAATATGCCTAAATGCTCGCATAGTTATTAATAATATTAGCTCTCATTTAAAATATTCGTTAAGTTGTTCATCAGCACCTCCTTTGTAAAAACAATGAATGAAGAAAAGTCAGGTTTTGCTAGGCAAGAAAAATGGGTCAAGATTAAATCAGTTTGATATAAACCTGTGAATGAGTAGGTGAATCTTTGTAGATATATATGTTACTGATATAAATATTTTAATACTGTTACGTAGGAAATTATCAAAACAGTCGACTTTTTTTTCACTGTAAATATTTACAGTTTGAAAATATGAACTTTATCACTGTTAAGTGAACATTGATACGGATTTACAGGTTCCTTAATACCTGTACTTAAGTCACAAAATTAAAATTTGTCCTTGTTACTTGTAATCTTGATGAAAAAGTGAATTGTTATTTACATGTACACAATGAACAGTAAATAAACTTCACAAAAATATCATGTTTATCAAATAAAAACCAGCATTTACATACAACTAAGTATCTCAGCAATGTTATGCTCTAAATTTCCATGCCAGTGTTGTATATATCTCATTGTACGCTTGTTTGAATGTGAAAGGGAGAGAGTGTGGAATTATTTACTCTAGATGTCTACTTGTTTCTCAACAAAACAAGTCCTCATTGCAATGGTTGTAGCAGGGTCTCTAGGTAGTAAGGTCATTACCTGTATATTTGTTACCTGTATATAGTTAGATCTGACTACATGTGTATATAACAATATAGAGTATTTTGTTGTATAATTTAGATAACTGCTTTATAAGTCTGAATGTATATAAATCTGTGTCGCCCATATTATCCAATACACAGTACAAACTGTACAAGGAATGCCAGTGAATCTCTGTTTGTGGTATGTAGAAAAAATTCAGAAATTGTTGTTTATCTAATTGAGAGAACCTAAGTCACAGAATTCCTTTTTTAACATCTTCATTAATTCTTTTACCTTGTCTAATTGGCTCAAGACGTTTGGAAAGGAAGTGTAGAAGTAGAATTTAAGAGTTAAAGAATATCCAGTTTTTGAGATTTTTTTTAAAAAACTTAAAACTGAACTAGTTTATTTATAACCTTAAATTTTCTTGCAATGATTTTCAACCAAATGTCAATTTTTTTTCCTTCTGAATTTGATCCCATCTCTTTAATATCAACACAGTTTAGTTGTTCCTACCACTCAACAGTTATCCCCCTTGTATACAAGTGGGTTTTTGCCATGCGATATTTTTACTATGCTGAATAATATCAGGACCTTTAGTCACTGATGCATGGAGTTATGGATGAACCGGGTAAAATTGGATTCTGACAGTGCAGTCTGTGATGATTTTGTCTATGGTGGTCAGCGATAGGAATATAAGCAATGAATGTGTTGCTAAATTGTTGATTGTTTTTTGATGGTTTATTGTGTTAGAAATTTGTTTTAATATATTTTATATGTTATTACCAGATTCAAAAGGGATTTAATCTTCTGAATGTACTGTATCGACACTGTCTTCCTTGCAAAATTTTCAATCAGAAGTACTCAATCTAATCCCTTCCCTGTGACCCAATACTTAGCTATGTATTGTTAGATATACCCTGTCATGGTATATGTCAGTTAGGAGAAAAGTTATTCTATCCATAGAAAAGACTTAGTTATCAGCCTATACTAGATACGAGATAATAATTTCTATTTGGACATAAGGTAGACTAGTATTACAACATGCAAACAATTCTATAGTATTTATTTTTTGGGAATTAAGCTTTAAAAAGAAAACGATTTTGAGATGGGATACTTTTAAATGGGAAAGAAGACTTAGCCTTGAACAGGGGCTTAATATAATTTATGTAAATAGTCTACAGTATAAAATTATAGCATACAATGCATATATATTTACAAATAAGCTTTAAACATATGTTATAGATACTTTATCAGTGATAGCTGTGATGAGAGTCGACACAGTTGATGTATGGACCTGATTGCCCCACCTAACTAGACAACGATATTGATGAATGTACATAGCATGTGCAAGTTTTATTTATATTTGAACTTTTATATTAATATATCTGTATTTTTGCATAGGAATGTGCTTTGATGTGGTATATCTGACAGCAAGTGTGGATGGAAAACTTATTGCTTTTACAAAAAAAAAATATAAAAAAACATAGTTATATACAATATTTAGTATTTTTGTTTCCCTTTCTCTCATTTTTCTTTTGTTTTCACTTTTTGATCAACATATTCTTTGTTCTGTTAATTACTTTTCTTCTTGATGTAGAAAGTTCTATATGCTGATATTTTACATAAAATGGAGATCTGAGACCACCACTTTGTAATTTTGATGATTCAGCTGACAGATTACTTCAGTTTTACTCTTTATTCATAGTATGTATAGAACTTTTTATGAAAGTAGATATCTTAAAACTGATTTGTGATATTTTTGATATGCAGAAAAGTGCAATATGTTTATGAACTATTAAAATTATATTTTATAAAGCAATTTCAAGTCCAACAAGTTTTATAAAAGTACAAAAAATAGATAATGGTCGAAAATTATTTTTGTACATGGGGAAATAGTCAAAATCATGAATAATTTGTAAATTGAAGCTTGAAAGAAACTATAGTAAAATAGGATTAAACATCTGATTTATGTATTTGCTTTATATTTCTAATAAATAGTAAACATGCGACAAAATGAGCCTCGTTTCAAATTTATTGTCTTTACTGTCATTTCATGCCCTCACCTTTATACAGGGGGCATTTAACACTACCCATATTCACCCTGTCCTGTCTTGTTTCATCCTATGTGAAACATTGTCAGATCTTGAGAATCTCTCAATGTATCTAGTTTATATTAACCTCATAATATCAAAACATTAGGTTCTACACCTTATCATATCAAGATGGTTATTTGTCTAGGGTAAAGGGTCAATGGTCATATTTGACAACTATGGCAAGGATTGATCAAACCATGAACCATGTACTTAAATGCTTGGCAGTTGGGCCATTTATGTCCTGTAGATATTTTCTATTTTGGTTCTGTTTGTTGTGTTTCCTGTCCATCACGGGTAAACAGTGACTGGATTTGGTCAATTCTGGAAACCTTTATGAAACTTATCTACCAATGGTCTGTTAGAGTATTTCACTAGCGATAAGTCCAGGGGGCCAATACTGACAAAGAGTTGAGAGCAGGCTCATTGAAATAATAATTGGAATAATAAAAAAGCACTTGTTTGTTATTTTACTCAACATCAATAGATATGAGTTGGCTTATTACAAGGACAGATTAAAATGTATACATAAATTCTCTTCAGTGAGTGAACAAGTGTTGTGTGCAGAAATATCTGTACTGTTCTATATATATAAATCAGTGAACCACCATCTCTCTCCTTTATCTCTCTCCCCTCCTCCTGTTGTTACATCAATTTCTAGTTAAGCTCACGGGCAAATGATATCCACATAATCAATGTTATACTTTGTATATCTGTAAATATTTGTTACATAATATGTATCCCTGTGGGTAATGGTGTACAGCAATGTAAAGTAAAAAAGTTAAAAGCAACCGTCTATTTATGAAAAAATGTGCGTCTCAAAACAAATCGATTTAATTCAGATAAAGTATTTTCCCCAATGGACCTATAGCGTTCCTGGTAACCACCTGCTGATGAATCATGTGGTGGTTTGACATTCCAGGAGGAAGAGTTGTCTCCCCTATCAGAGAGAGCTTATTCCAGACATAGGTGAGGCAGGTATAATTGATTCTGATAAAATCCAATGTCTAAAAATAATATGATTTACATCCATTCACATACAGCATACAGGCATTACTTGAATCTTATACAACAACGTCATTGACAAACCGTTGTATGAAGTCACTAGATATAATTAAGAAATGACAGACGTCCACGCCTACATGGACTGGTCCATCATGTTATGGAAGGAGCCGGATCTGGGATACAGTGACCACAAGTTTGTGATGACAGAGGCTCGGTACCAGGGCGTAATGACACACGTCCAGTAAATACAGCGGATCGTGCCACCATGGAGTAGTCCGTATATGCGTTATAGTGCACACACATACACATTTATGTTATCGGGCACCTGCTTTCGTCAGTCGACAGCCATGCCAGCCATTCGAAGTCTGTGCGTTTCTTCTCTCCTTGTATTTGTCCTCCTGGAGTTAACCGTCTCTCAGGATATTCAGGCGTTTTATCAAGGTACGTATTTCAAATAGTAATCACATTTATGATTTGTGAGGGGAATGGACATAAACCACAAGTATAGACAGAAAGAAACGACTTCAAATATACGGATCAGCAAATTGAAAGTAGATTCGGAGGCTGGTACCATCTGTCATCTGATTCAGAGACCGGGAGTAGTCAAAGGCGGGCCATTCATTGATAATTCCCATATTACAATGTCATTTCAAACTGTTTTCGATTTTTCATTGTAGTACAATGATTTTGATAATTAATTTTAATATATCTTAATTAATCAATTAACTTTGTTAATGATCAGGTGTTCACGAATGCTTACCTTTTACCATGAAGCCTGAGTTTGATTCTCTAATCTGAAATGAAAATGGAAGTACTATATTCAGTCTCCTGCCTAACCATACAGGTTTCAATTGTACAGTTTCCTCATCCATTCAAATAAGAGGATCTACTGTGATAAAAGTTCCAATTTTTAATATTAATAAAGTGAACGGAAAAGTGAAATAAATTGTAACATTAAATGAGAGACAAAGGCAGGATTGTTGCGAAATTAAGATCTACAAAAGGCAGCTTGTCTTCATGAGGACAAGGTCATGGAATTGACAAACAGTTTACTTTTTCAGCAAAGGTTTGTTACTTAAAGAAAAAAAAAATTCAGTAATACTTATGGAAGTTAATATTAAGATAATGGAGATTCTAAGCTATCAACCAAGAATATAGACTAGATAAAATTGATCTTTCTTTTTGTAATAGAATAAATGTTCTACTTTTTATGAAATGCTTTGTAAATCATGAATCCAAAATTATGTAAGAACCTCTATATATTCCTTTAAAATCTTATCAAAATACTGTAAAATCAAAAAAAAAAATTGGGGAAAATTGTTGAAGGCAGAAAACAACAAAGGCTCTTCTCGTCAAACATTTTCCTCAAGTTTATGATTGCCTTTCTAACACAGCCATTTTAAAACAAGGGAATTTGAGTTTGATAAACTTTGAACTTGAAAGGCTTGGTTTGGACGTGTACTATTTATAGCAGCTAGAACAACTGTCAATAAATTTTTGATAGGAATGAAAATTCACCACATTGATAAAATCCCTATGGACTGTTGCTGTCATGTAATATTATGTAACTAAATACAAATCTAACCAGGTTATATGGAAATTGTTATGGAAATTTATCACCGAGTTTAAAAACTTGTAAAAATTTAAAAACATGATCATATTTCAAATGATGAAAAAAACACACTTTTTTTTGTACAATGTGTAGCTGACAATGCTGTGAAGTATAGAATGTTAGTATTGAATATCTATATAAAACAAAACAAGATGGCATGGAAACATCCTACGGTGGCTACATATGTATATTGATTTTGAATTTGTCATTAACATGTTTACCATAAGTGACAAATGGTTAGATATATATGTAGGTCAATAATATAGGTGTATTTTATGCAAATGATTGATTGACATAAATTACAGTACGTAAAATAGAATGTCTATTTGGTGAAGAAGCCAGATGTGTCTGTTTTAATATTGAACTTCTGTTGCTTTCTAAGCCCATGCCTGGTAATAAGCCCACCCATAACTGTTAGTGTTAAAAAGAATCTCCAAAACTGGTATTCTAAATATAGCAGAAAATAAACCCACTTCCTTGAAAAATACATATGTTTCTTGTAACATGTTTGAAAAATTTAGGGAAGGTAGCTAGGCAAAAATTTCATTTTTACAAATTATTTTATATGGTTTAAATAGGAGACAGATCTTTCCTTTAAAATTTGTCCTTAAAAATTGTCTTAAAATGTGAAATGTAGGCACATATTTTTAGGGTAGGCAGGAAACATCTTTTGTTTAGTCGTAAATGTAATGGTCTCCTGGGCTCATTGAGGAATAAATACAGTACAATATCTTTCTATGTCTTTTTTAATGTTGGGGTGGGGTGGAAGGGGAGGGAGGGGGGAGGTATCAAAGAGGCATGATCGTTGATTGGTAGAAGTGGATAGATATGATATCAGATTGTTTACAACTTTGGAAATGTAGGATTCATTAAATTTCAAATTCTATTTGGTTTGATCATTAATTGTAACAAGTCAATCTGTGGAAATATGTTTACTTTTAAATCTGGAATCTTATGAGTTATATGAATTGTTTGTTTCAATTATCTACAATTAACATCAACCTGCTACATGATTGTGACTATTGAGTCTAGAAGAAGAGAATAACATCTATGGAGATTAAAAGTGTTCTACTACATTATAGTACGGTTTGGAATGTCTGTATTGAGGTTTATGTGATAGCAAGGTTTGAAGGCTGAATATCATATTGGTACCGTAGATCAAAGGAATGTGTACATTATTTTTACTGGTTTAAATGAAAGAATTCTCATTTTCAGAAAAGAGGTGAGGATGTTATTATGTTTGAAATGAGCACTGATGTAATTAAAATCCAATAGAAAAGTAAATTTTCTTCATTACTGATATGCACACACAATTATTGGAAAGCTTAACATTTCTTTAAGAAATAATGTAATATACCACATAGGTAGGAAGTTATACTTCATCAGAAGAATCTAGAAAAATTATTTATTAGCAAGCATATATTATTTTTTAATTATTTCCATATGGCAGTTTTGAAATACATAACATTGTCATTGGATTGTTGTAGCATTCCCTATGTAATCGTCTGTAAGAGCACTTGATTTGTATATCTATCAGTACTGTGATTGTAGACCTTTTCAATTTTATTTTATAATTTCTAACTGGTTGATAAGAAAAGGCTAAGAGTTGTTATCAATGTTGATACAGAGTATTGCAAGTCAGCATGAGAAAAACTGGTCTTCACAAATATTTACAACAAATTTTGGATGAATTTTATATACAAAATCCTAAGTAGTTTTTGTAAATCTTTTATTCAAAGAGATTCTTCAAAGTGAAAAACTTCTAACAGGATCAATTATCAAGACTTTCCTTGACATGTTTTAAAGATGTCATTGGTTTGTCCCATCATTTGTTAGTCCTATCTATTGATTGGTTTACTGATACATTGACCAGCAGTGCAGTAGAACACTGTTTAGACATGCTGTCCTTCCTGTTACAAATTCATTTTTGTCAGGACTGGCTTTATGCCCAGGCCCAGTTTTGAAAGAGAAGACATTAAAATGATTGTGACAAGGCGTAATTACAGTTCCAACAACATTTTTTTTTGTTTATTTTGTTCATCAATGTGTCACTGTCAGGAACAGTGTGATTATGGAGTTCTAGATGCGGGTTGAGTAATGTTTAGGGTCGAGAAAGAGTTGAGAAGATGAGAGAAGGATGAAAATGATGTAAAGATTGAGTGGAGAAAAATGATGAAAATGATTGTGCAAAGATAAGAAGACAAGAGTGATGCATGAGGGTGAGAGAAGGATAAAAATACAAGACAAGAAAAATGGAAGCCATGCATATGGGATGGAAAAAGAGTTAGGACAAAAGTAATAGTAGTTATACATTTGATAAAGGAAGTGATAGGGACACAAGGAAAATAGAAGCCATTCATTTTGGAAAGGGAGAGATCGGGGAACAAGACAAGAAAAATAGAAGCCATACATTTTGTAAAGGGAGAGAACGGGTGACAGGACAAGGAAAATAGAAGCCATTCATTTTGTAAAGGGAGAGAACAGGTGACAGAATAAGAAAAATAGAAGCCATACATTTTGTAAAGGGAGAGAACGGGTGACAGGACAAGAAAAATAGAAGCCATACATTTTGTAAAGGGAGAGAACGGGTGACAGGACAAGAAAAATAGAAGCCATACATTTTGTAAAGGGAGAGAACGGGTGACAGGACAAGAAAAATAGAAGCCATACATTTGGTAAAGGGAGAGAACGGGTGACAGGACAAGGAAAATAGAAGCCATTCATTTTGTAAAGGGAGAGAACGGGTGACAGGTAAAGAAGAATGGGAACTATACATTTAGCAAAGGGAGAAACAGGGAGACAGGGCAAAGGTCATTGGTCAAGGTCAGTTTTTTTTGTGTAGCTCTTTACTGATGCACTTTTTTGTGATGTCATTATGAAGAAAATGTTGATAATTAAATAAGATGTCAACTGACTAAAGATCAAGGTCAATGGGTTTAAATGTTGGGTTCAAAGGTCAAGGACAACGTGGATCATGATAAAACAAGATGTCAAAGGTTAAAGTCATATCATTGTTGGTATAGTGTGTGTTTTGCATAGGGGCTAGTGACAGGGCCCTTGCTGTTCTGTCAGTGTTCAAGTTGTCATCAATGAGGCTAGCAAATTCCAGATTTTTACATGGAAGTATTAAAAATTTTGTTTCGCAAGGTAGAGAGACAAGAGAAATAGTTTATTGAAATAAATAAAAAAATGAATAAAAAAATAATAAAAAAATAGTACAAACTTGTGATAAATCATATATGTTACAGAGTTACAAAGATCAAATATATTACAAATATATATTACAAACTTAACATAAATCTAATATGTTACAAAGTTACAAAGATTCAAATATGTTACAAACTTTACAAAGATGAAATATGTTACAATGTTACAAAAATTCAAATATGTTACAAACTTTACAAAGATGAAATATGTTACAATGGTACAAAGATTCAAATATGTTACAAACTTACAAGATCAGTGGAAGGACAAAAGCTCAAAAGTCATAATGATCATCATGTCAAAAGTTCACATTGATTATAGATGGTCTAGTGGTATCTTTAGAATAGTTGCTGGGTTAAAAATGAGGTTATTTGTAACTCATTGCTGTTAAGTCATAAACAAGAAAGGAAAACAAAATGAAAATGTACATGTTCTGTTACACCATTTTAGAAAGTATCAAGATTCAGTTGGTACATATATGAAGCAGGATAGAACATCACTAAAGTAACTATTAGAGAGGCGGAGGCAGGAGAAACGAATGATGTATTTGTAGCAGATGGAAATAATTTTTGGAATGAAATGTATCTTATCTCACAGCATTAGACAAACTTGATATGTCAATTGT